TCTCTCTCTCTCTCTCTCTCTCTCTCGTTTGATTTATGTGTCATCCTTGCGCTGTGGCCATGCTAATCATCTCTGTATCGTTCCAATTTTAACGGATGTCCAGAATTGTTACTGCTATACTGTTATTCCTCTTTGCCATGCAAATTTTTTAGTGAGGTTACCCCACCAAGGTAGTCAGGCCGCACCTGCCCCAGACCGCCGTCCAGGTGTGTGTGGACTGGACTGCTCTCAGGCAGCATGTCCAGAAATCTGGGTAGGTCGTAGGAGGATGAGGGGACATATTTCTAGCCTGGCTCAGCCGGTTTGACAAAGAGTGTGTCGCAGGCGTGCAGGTCGGCCAGATTGGGTTCTGAAGGGTCTGAGAAGATCTGGGAGGAACGTGAGGCACCCCAAGCGGCTGACCTGCAGCGGATAAACAGCCTGGATGCAGCGCTTTAGCAAGGCACGCCAGTTCCTGTGTGCTCTGCAGGGATTGGCCACTTGCCCTAGGTAATGAGGCCAACTGCCCCTCGGGTCATTTTACTCTCGAACTGGCCTCTTGTGCCAGTCTCTCTATAAGTCTGCTCGACCAGTGCCAGTCTCTAGTGTTCTGCTTCGCTGGTGAGTGTTGAGGACCCAATGAGGTTCCTCTTTCCTCTCTTTTCCTCCGTTCCTTTGCCGCCTCTTCTTCCCCCATCCTTCCTTCTCCCTCCCCTCCCCACCGCTCCCCCCCCCGCCCCCCCACCCCCCTCCTTCCTGGACCGGTGGAGAACTACCGAATTCATTCAGCCAAGCATTACTATGAGAACAGAGTAAACGTAAGGTGCAGGTCAGCTGAAAGGCAAACGGGGGCGTGTACTATGTAGTAACTTTGTACGCTTCACACTTTAGTGCACAGACAGGCAAATGGAATTAGTCCGAATTACCTTAGGCTTTTTCTATGGCTAAGGTAATTTTGTTGACCTCGCACCATTCAGCATACAACCATGACACACGGCGTCACAGGGCGTCACACGCTCACAAACATGGATATCACCTCCCTTGCACTGCGAATAGTACTGTCCGGCATGGCGACAGAGAAGACACAGGTACATGCACACACAAGTTTGCATCTGTGCTGCTGGGAATAGTACCTTCCACAATGAACGTCCTGCTTGCTCGTAATTTACTGACATGCATAACCACAATGAACCTCCAGTGAATTGTGAAAGTTACTGAGAAACTCCAGTAACTTCCACAATGAACTTCCAGTAAATTGTTACTGAGAACCTCCAGTAACTTCCACAATGAACCTCCAGTTACTGAGAAGTTACTGACAACCTCCAGTAACTTCCACAATGAACCTCCAGTAAATTGTGGAAGTTACTGAGAAGACAGAGGTACATGCACACACAAGTTTGCGTGCACCTCGAAATGACGAACTTGGAGTATTCGGCATGGCGACAGAGACTGACAGTGCGACAAACCGACAGACGGCTCGGGCTGGAGTTGGGATGTGTGCATGCCAGCCCCGGTGTGTGTCCTGGATCCAGGAGCAGAAGCAAGGTGAGTCGTGAATGAGGGCATTGAACAAACACATCGCGGTAGTAGACGGGGGCAGTATCAAGATGCAACACTTGTGTAGTCTGACCGACTCTGACACCGTCAAGCTGTCAGAGTCGGTCAGGCACCTCACTGACATGAGGGCAGCCGTCTTGAGCGTAGAGAGCCTGAAGTCGCAAGCGATATGCATGTCAGTAAATTAGGAGCAAGCAGCACACCGAACGCAACATTGCTTACGTCTCACAAGTAGAGCGTAAAAAAGAACTCCATGACTAGTGGAGCGTTAAAAAAAACTCCATGTCAGAATGCTTACATCTGACTAGTGGACCATAAAAAAAAAGTTAAAAAAACTCAATGACCTTTGCGATATGACAAAATGGTGAATTGTAAATCTCTTCGTTTCTCTGTTTCAACGCTGAAGGCCAGTGAGACATTTCCTATTCTTCTTCTGTTTCTATTCTCAGTTCAGCGCAGAAGACCAGTGATAGGAGACAATGGCGAACAGTTCTCTCTCTCTCTCTCTCTCTCTCTCTCTCTCTCTCTCTCTCTCTCTCTCTCTCTCTCTCTCTCTCTCTCTCTCTCTCTCGTGCGCGTGCGT